GCATGACGCTACACCATGCTCTCCAAGCTAAAAACAAGAGCTCTTCTACAGCTTATAACTTTAAGCCCCGCCTTACTTAACAATTGTTACCAAATTTACAAATCATCAAGGTTGGCTGACTGAACTTTTCCAAATCTTTTCGTCATGTCTCCATAATCATATTAGCCTCTTGTTCTTTTTATCCTGCATGCGTCATAATCCCAGTGGAGGCTCTACAGTACAGGGCCTGAGGGCCTCCGGTTATGCCGCGCACTCGCCGTGGTTCCTCCGGCTGAGACACCGAGGACAGCTTATTTATCGTGAGATGTCTCTATCAGTTGCCTGGTATATCCTAGCTGGAGATCTATGCAGCTTTGGGATAGTGTCCATCAATAAAAGAAAGCCTTCACTGAATACAGCATACAGCATAGACTAGCAACGTAGTAATCTCTCGATGTCCTCACCGAGCTGACTCTCACCTTTCCCCCAACACCGGCAATCTCTCCGATCTCAGCCTCTATTAAAACTTTTCCACTTCATTTCAGCCTATACCCTAGCCTAGACTCTTCAAGCATGCATGGGTTGTCATGATATCCCTCATCCATCATAAAGACCCCCAACCTTTTCCGAAAAAGCCTCATGGAACCCCAAAACAGCTCACCTCGGTGTGTGATTTTCGGATCATGACATTTCACTTAGACCCTGCTACGACTCGAAAAATAACGCCTTTCTCAATAGCTCACTTGGCCGAGTGGTTATGGCGGCAGACTTAAGCTCTCAACTGCTGAGTATTCTGCTACATTTAATGTGCGCAGGTTCGAACCCTGCAGTGAGCATTGCTTTTTGCTTTTGGTCCTTCTTCTCCGTCTGTTTGTTGCCGATTGTTGTTGGTGTTGTGACAGATGTCATTGGAAAGGTTACTAGAGTCGACTACTGAGCATCGTTGAACGAGAACGTTGAAGCTTGAATATAAAACTGTTCGGTTATGGTGTCTCGACTTCGAGTGCAAGGTAATGGTTTCTTCGGGCCAGTTGCAGAGTTCAATCTGCGTTGGTATCGAAAGACAATGAAGCAAGGCGTGAGGTCTCATTGTCCATATTGGCCTGCGAACAAAGGTCAAAACAATAGCATTGTCACATGTCAAGAGGAATAAACAATGATCAGACACAAACTCACGGAAGACAATCTACATTGACAGAATGACATATCCACAGAACTAACGAGTGTATCAAACTCCAACACGCCAAAGCAAATAAAGGCTTCTTATCTACATTCATCCTCTAGGTTTCCACCTCCTAGTTTGTCCTTATCATGGCTTGCACGTGTTCCCCCCCCTCCTCTGCCGGCTCATCGACAAGACTGATACCATGTCCGAGTCAGCCAGTCCTGCTCGCTGTCTACCCGTTGTCTCTCTCAAGTCCAGTGACTTATCGGTTATCTGTCAAACTGCCGACAAATGATGGATCCTTGACACTGCCGCCTGCATCTCCCAGCCCAGCGATCGGACGGTTGTAGCTGAATCCTTGGAATTGGTTCTGCATGGTTTGAGAGAGCATGGGGCCCTCGACGTAGGAATCTTGAGGGGCTTCGGATGTGAATTCGGGGTCAAAGTTGGCAGTGTCCAGAGCGTCAGCCTAAAATTGTCAGTAAAGTTCAATGTCGATTCGAATGAGGGGCACATACCACACTGGGCTTGAATGTAGGCTCGTACTTGCGCTGTAGAAGCTTCCTCCAGTCAATAGCATGGAAGAAAGGATGCGCCTTGATCTCAGCCGATCCATTGGCACCAAGTCGCTCCTCAGGGTTGCGGTTCAAAAGCTTGGTGAGGAGATCCTTAGCAGCTGGGGGAACCACATCAGAGAAGTGAAGAGGCTCTGATAGAATCTTGCGGTACATCTCGTTGGTGTTCTCATCGTAGAAAGGTGGCAGACCTGTCAACATCTCATACAGCAAAACACCAAGAGTCCACCAATCGACTGTCTTGTTGTAACCTTGACCCATCAACAACTCTGGAGCGAGATACTCGGGTGTACCACAGAATGTGTTGGTACGGTCCTCATCCTTCATATCAAGCTTGCAGAGACCAAAGTCACAAAGGGCGATATGGCCTTGGTAATCCAGAAGAATGTTCTCGGGCTTGAGATCTCTGTAAATGACGCTGAAGCCGTGCAGACATTCCAGGGCGCACAGAAGCTCAGCAGTGTAAAAGCGGGATCGGTTGACGTCAAATCGGTGCTCCTTTTGCAAGTGGTGGAACAGCTCGCCTCCGTTGACAAAAGCGAGAACAAAGTAAAGCTTCTCCGGTGATTGGAAACTGAACTTGAGAGGGACGATAAAAGGGTTGTTGATCTGTGCCAGCACAGATCGCTCGGCGAGTGTATGGGCGACTTCGGATCGCGAGATGATGTGCGCCTTTCGGATGGTCTTGAGAGCGTAGATTCGGTTTGTGTCCTTCTTGCGTACCTGCATGACCTTGCCGAAACTGCCCTTGCCGACGACCTTGAGTAGTTCAAAGTCTTCAATCTTGAGCTTACCTGCTCGGGTCTCGACATACTCGACACCAACCTTGATTCTACCCGTTCCATATTGCACGTCGACCCACTCGGCACCTTGGTGACCATTGCGCGCTGCGTGCTCAGCAGCAGCCTTCTCGCGGTCCTTCTTGCTGGCCTTGGGGTCCTCAACGTATTGCTGTCTCTCTTCGAATCGGGGGTTGATGCGGACAACACCGAGGAAGATATCCTGGCTTCGTCCAGATCCGGGTGGCGCATTCGGGTTGCGCATGTACAGGTGGATGACGAGCTCTGTCACTCTTGACACATCGAACTTGTACTGGGTGTTTCCACCGGCCCACAGAGGATTCTCAGGATTTCCATCGACCGAGTTGACAAAGACCTGGACCTTGTCGAAATCGAGGAGGGCGTATGGCATGTACTTTCCAGAAATTCGACCGTGGTTGGTGGGAATGCCGTTGAAGCCGCCAGCGGAAGAGTGCGGTCGGTTACTGCCGTTAACAAATGATCCGGCGACACGTTGTGAAGATCCTGGTCGAACAGAGCCAGACATTCCAAGGGCGTTGGACGAAGACATCGATCCTTGGTGTGACGAGGCAAAAGCACTTCGGTGCTGCTCAGGAAGAGAAAATCCTTGGCCTTCGTGGAGGGTGACAACGAGAATACCGGGCTTGGGGGGCTTAACAACAGGGGCCTGTGTCATGGCCTCAGAGGCAGCTGTTCAAGTCAGATACTGACGTTACTCCAGTCCAATTTGCTCACCTATGGCACTTTCCGTTGTAGGCGTAACAGCGCCGCTAGCCTGGCCATCTTTTTCCTTTTCGGTGATGGTTGAAGTAGAGGGGGATCGAGAGAAGGGGCTCAAGGATTGACCCAGATGGGTTTCCTTTAACTCTGATGGATGTTAGTGATGCGACAGATATCGGACATAAAGACGTACTCTTGGTAAGCTTCCAAGACATTGTTGTTGATGTCAACGAGGTATTTGATGGTTGGGGTCAAGGATCGACAGCCAACAAGTGTTGCAGGATCAAAGTGTAAAGCAACGAGTGATCACTGCGCGCTGACAAACTCCTGATCAAACAGGAGGCTGATGGCGTGGCAGAGTGTTCAACAAATGGATGATTTGTAACCCCGCATGCGTGGAAGCGTAAACCGGCCGCTGTTTGGTAGTATGAAGGATCGCAAGTCGACGAGACGAAGAGGAGACTGTGCGCCGACTGGTTGGGAAGGGAAAGGAGGTTCAAATCGAACAAAAGATGGCAGAGGTTGAATATGAGGAGGAGGCGAAGCACAAGAGCCCGAGACAAGACCAGCCGAGATATGAATGAGGTGGATACGGGGGATGGATGGGAGAAGGGGATTACTATGACATCCAAGGCCCATTTGGCGGCAGCAGAAAAGGTGGATCTTCCCGCAGGGAGCCCGCACTGTGGGCTAGGGTCGATGGTAGTGCTGTTCTGGTGCTGGAAACACAGTGTCTCAGTCTGCGACACAGGAGCTCAGACTGTGGAGATGGTCTGGAGTAATCCCGTAAGGTCGATTTTAAGCCACAGCCACGGGCTCTAGCTTTGTTGATCAGCTAGAGAATGAGCCTAGAGCGAGGTCCAGCCAAATAATCCATAACATAAGGGGTAAATGAGAAGGAGAAGCGAGACTAGTTCATAAACAATGCCATTAATGCCCAAGCCAGGAGCCAAAGAGCGTCAATTGGTGTACATACAGTGTCTAAAGTGTTGATATGGTTGATGTGAAGCAACCAACTTGTTGTACAGCCACACTTTTCATCATGTACGAAGACGACGCGTGTCGAAAATCTTGGCTGAATTGTGGAGGATCTATAAACAGATCAGAATATTTTTGGCAATTCTAAATATGAGAAATTTGTCCAAGGGATGTCAAATTCATGGCTATTTATTTATGACTGGGATGTCAAGTAATGCTGCAATTGAACGACGTCAGAAAGTGTATCAACAATCGACCTCAACCAACAGACTCGAACAACTTGACCATGAAATCAATTAAGGAGGAAAAATGTAAAGAAGAAACATATAAACAAGTCAATTCTTTTCAAGCAACAATACCAAATACCATGGTATGTCATTAAGTTCTGACTGTTCTCATCTACCCTACATCCCCCTTTTCTGGAGCATCCCTGATAAGAAGGGATAAGGAGGTGGAGCCTGACACTTCAGGCCAACACCACATCCATGGCCAGCCTGTCAAGAGCCGCAGGACACATTTCGGGGAGCTCCAAATCAATATACACAAGCTCAAGCTTTGTCAATTCAAACACCACGATTGATGATTAGCGTTTGACACTCTGTCTTTTTTTTCTTTTTCTTTTGCTTTCCCCCCCAAACTCTGTGCACTTGCGACAACTGTCATCCCGCATGGTAGCCTCCTTCAGGGATTCTTAACTTCGACCCCACTACCTCGATATCACCGCCCTTGCTGGACAGCTTGCATCTTCAACTGCGCAACGCGACAGCGACGACACACGACAAGATGAAGTTAGACGTCAAGGTCAGTCTGGGGATCTGCTGAGTGCGCCCGATGTTTAGCGTAGTGCTATTCACAGCGTGCGCACTCGATATCTGCGGCGGCAGCTTTACTTGTGCCATCTGAGCTGACACGTTTCGAAATACAGCGCCAGCTCTACGCTCGCAGTGAGCGAGTCAAGGGCATTGACTTTCATCCTCACGAGCCATGGATTCTCACAACCCTCTACAGCGGTATGTTGATCTCTGCAGCTCGAGATCCAGTGCTGACAGTATAGGCCACGTCTACATCTGGTCCCACGAAACCCAGCAGATCGTCAAGACGTTTGAGCTCACCGATGTCCCCGTTCGCGCCGGTCGATTCATCGCCAGGAAAAACTGGATTGTCTGCGGTTCCGATGATTTCCAACTACGAGTCTACAATTACAACACCTCCGAGAAGATCACCTCCTTCGAGGCGCACCCCGACTACATTCGAGCTATCGCCGTTCACCCCACACAGCCGTTCGTCTTGACTGCCTCCGATGACATGACCATCAAGCTCTGGGATTGGGAGAAGGGTTGGAAGTGTGTGCAGGTCTTTGAGGGCCATGGTCACTATGTCATGGGTTTGGCCATCAACCCCAAGGACACAAACACCTTTGCTTCGGCTTGTCTTGATCGAACTGTCAAGATCTGGAGTCTTGGTTCTTCTACTCCCAACTTCACCCTCGAGGCACATGAGACCAAGGGTGTCAACCACGTCGATTACTACCCTCACTCCGACAAGCCCTACCTCCTCACCACATCTGACGACCGAACCGTCAAGATTTGGGATTACACTACAAAGTCCCTGATCGCTACCCTCGAAGGTCACACCAACAACGTTTCGTTTGCCTGCTATCACCCCGAATTGCCCGTCATCATCTCCGGTTCCGAGGACGGTACGATAAGAATATGGCACGCCAACACCTACCGATTCGAGCAATCCCTCAACTACAGTCTAGAGCGAGCTTGGTGTGTCTCGTATCAAAAGGGCAAGCAGGGTGTCGCTGTAGGTTTCGATGATGGTGCTGTTGTTGTCAAGCTTGGTCGTGAGGAGCCTGCTGTTTCCATGGATGCGTCCGGCAAGCTCATCTGGGCTCGACACAACGAGGTTGTCTCTTCAATCATCAAGGGAGGAGGTATGTACATATATCCTCTTCCAGTGGAATAAGCTAACAAGACAGATGCCTCTATTAAGGACAACGAGCCAATCTCCCTCCCCACCAAGGATCTCGGTACCTGCGAAGTCTACCCCCAAACGCTTATCCACTCCCCCAACGGTCGATTCGTCGCTGTCTGCGGTGATGGCGAATACATCATCTACACTGCCCTCGCCTGGCGAAACAAGGCTTTCGGCTCGGCCCTCGACTTTGCCTGGGCCTCCAAGGACAACAGCAATGACTTTGCCATCCGAGAGTCAGCCATGAGCGTCAAGATCTTTAAGAACTTTCAAGAGAAGACTGGGGGTCTCGATGTTGGTTTCCAGGCTGAGAGACTCCATGGCGGTGTTCTTCTCGGTGTCACAGGTCAAGGTGGTGTCTCCTTCTTTGACTGGGCTACTGGTGGTCTCGTTCGAAGAATCGAGGTTGAGCCCAAGCAGGTCTATTGGTCTGATAGCGGCGAGTTGGTGACGATTGCTTGTGAGGATACCTTTTACGTTCTGCGATTCTCTCGTGAGAACTACGTCGAGGCTGTCCAGTCTGATCAAGTTGAGGAGGATGGTGTCGAAGCCGCTTTCGAGGTCATCACTGACATTAGCGAGTCGTATGCCCCCCGTTCCCCTTTAATCTGCTATGCTAACGATATAGTGTCCGAACTGGCGAATGGATCGGCGACTGCTTCATCTACACCAACAGCACCAACCGACTCAATTACCTTGTCGGCGACCAGACTTACACTGTCTCCCACTTCGACAAGGCCCAGTACATCCTGGGCTACATCCAGCGCGATTCTCGAATTTACCTTGCCGACAAGGATGTCAACGTCACTTCTTTCGGCCTGTCCCTTCCCGTTCTTGAGTACCAGACTCTTGTCCTCCGAGAGGATATGGAGACAGCCGCTGAGCTGCTACCAACAATTCCCCACGACCAACTCAACAAGATTGCGCGATTCTTGGAAGGTCAAGGTCATAAGGAGCTTGCCCTGGAGGTTGCGACAGATCCTGAGCACAAGTTCGAGCTTGCACTGGCGTTGAATGAGCTTGCTATTGCTTTGGACCTTGCTCGTGAGGCTGACGCCGATCACAAGTGGAAGACTGTTGGTGACGCTGCTCTATCAGCCTGGGATGTCACCCTCGCTGCTGAGTGCTTCACCCACGCCAAGGATCTCGGATCTCTCTTGCTTCTCCACTCATCAACAGGCGACCGCGATGGTCTCGCTGCCCTCGCCGCTCAAGCACAAGAAGCCGGCTCTCACAACGTCGCATTCTCATGCCAATGGCTCCTCGGCAACATCGAAGCCTGCACAAAGATCCTCACCGAGACAGGCCGTCTCGCCGAAGCCGTCCTCTTCTCCCAGACCTACCAGCCCAGCCTGACTGTACCGGTAGTACACGAGTGGAAGGAGAACTTGGAGAAGAACAAGAAGGGCAGGGTGGCCAAGCTGATCGGTGTTCCCGGCGAGGACGACGAGCTCTTCCCTGAGTGGGATGAGTGGCTTAAGCTTGAGAAGGAGGGCGGCGTTAAAGTGGCGGAGCCCGTTAATGGACAGAAGACTGAGAGCGAGCCGGAGGCTGAGGAGGAGGAGAGTGAGGAGGATGAGGAATAAGTGTGATTTGTTTTTATGCTTAGATGGCTGGTGTAGAAAAGGATTGGTCATTCCATCAGGGTTGCTATGGCATCAATGAGTATAATGAAAAGAAATATGGTAGTCATTTGCGATGTGTGATGAGTCTTGTGCCGTAACGTGTTATGAGATGGCTGCGTTGGTAGGTGAAGGGGGACAGACGTGCTGTTGTGAAGTGGCTTTATTGAAGGCAAGCCTCAACTGGATTGAAATGGTGTTCAGGGCAGTGATCAATCTAGATTTCAGGGTTTGATCTGTGCTGAAGCCGCCGTACGAGCTGAAGATGAGGCTGAGGGATCTCAAAGGGGATACTGTGCCGTAGACTTGCAGCTTCAGTCACCTCGTGTAAGTCAACCGACTTACAAACTCCAAGGAATAAATGATTGCAATCTCTTCATTTAATACTATTAACTATGGATGACGGGGGCCTATAAGGTGAATAACCCAGCACCAAAACGTCGATACCACCAACATAACCCACCAACAAAGAATGATAACTGACTGCTCACTCCCACCACCTCTCCACCCCCTAATACTGCCATTCCTTGGAACTCCCCCCAGGACATCCAGGCGTCCCGTACACACCACCCACAATCCAAAGAATCATATCCACAAACGCCCAGACTCCCGCTCCACCGAGAGTGAAGAGTTTGAACACAGCGAGAGGCCAGTGATGCGCGTAGAACTGGTCGACACCGATAACTCCGAAGAGGAGGGAGAGGATCATGGCGGTGCGTTCTTGGCGGTAGCATCTCTCTGTGAGGGGGCGTTCTTTGAAACCGCCCCAGCTTCGGGTCTGGAGGGAGGGCTGTTGTTCTGGTGGTGTTAGTTGATGATAATGGGAGAGCAGAGGGAAGGGTAGGGAGAGGGACAGAGGGGAGGGAGACGAACCATCGTGAAAGTAGAGAAGAGCGCTACCGATTGAGATGATGAAGATATAGCCTAGCATCATCATCTTCCACTTGCGAGTTACGAAGTAGATGCCGTTGGTGAGCCCACGGCCCATCTTGTCGGCGACGGTGAGTTTTGCGTCCATGGTTGACGTCGCAAGTTGAGATATTATGGTTGCAGAGACGGGGATGATGTGGTATTTATGGATGATGAAAGAGGCAGACCAAACTGTCTCTGAACCAGAAGGAAGAGAGATTGATGTGACGGGTCGTCGTCATCTTCTTTGTTAAGGCGTTTGGAAGGAGTGACTTGGCGCTGAGGGCAGAGATGACACTGAATGTGATGGAATGTCAAAGCTTGCTGGTTGTTTGTACTTGCTTGGCATAAAATGGAGAGTCCGTGAATCAGTAGTCAAACAAAGAATACTACTCATAAAAAATAAGCTTGGACTGTTGTAAGACCAAACCGTGGATGTGGCGTTACACTCAAACGGTTGGTGATGGACAAACACTAGATTAGATCTCACGACTAGACTGAGACGACGTTCACGATGTTCATGATTACATTTGGACGATCTTTGTGAAAGAGACATGTCTTGTATTAAAAGCAGATAAACTTAAATCTCCTAGATATCCACCAACTTCTCCTCATATAAGCCCTCTTACAGAGCAGCGACGACAACACCGGCAACAGCAGCAGCAGCAGCGTAGATGAAACCGCCCTCACGAGCAGCACCATTGGTCTCAACAGGAGCAGCAGAAGAGGTAGGAGTAGAAGCGGCATCACTCTTAGCAGAAGTCTCCTCACCCGCAGAAGCAGTAGTCTTGTCCCCAGAAGAAGCAGTAGTCTTCTCAGGCTTCTCAGCAGTAGTAGTAGCGCTCACAGCATCACCGCCCTTTCCACCAAGAGCAGCAGTAGCGCAGACAGGAACAGCGGTGGCATACTGGCTCAGCTCAGGGCACTCCGAGAGAGCAGACTTGATCTCGTCCTCGTTCTTGCTGTACCAGCTGAGGATCTGGGAGCTGTAGCTGGCGTAGTCCTTGGAGAGGGAGGCCGGGGTGCTGAAGGAGCAGGGGTCGGTCTGGGGGTTCTCCGTGATGTCGGAGACGATGGCGGGGGGAGGCGTGGGGAGCGTCTTGTAGACGTCGAGGATGGCGGTTTGGCACTCTTCTGTGATGCCGCCGACGGCTGGGGCGGTTGCGCGCGGGGCGAGGAGATCGCGC